TATGGAAAGTCATATGCAAATTATTATTAGTAAATCATAAACAAATTTGGGACAAATTCAAACACTCTTACCTAGTTTTTTTCATATCAACATCGCAAGTGATTTTTATATTTTTTTATATGTACAGTTGTATATCATTTTGGACCATGTTCTTCAAATAAGGGTGAAGAGGAGTGGAGACAAATGACCACAACTACCTCCTTCTCAGCATTCCCCCATTATTGACTGGAAGCATTTTACAGAACTGATCTTGTCTTATTTGTCCTGTCAGTAGATCTATTAGTGGCTTACCCAGGTTCACTCCCCAGAGCCTTTTGAAAAGTCTTAGACAACTGACTTCTCCTGAAATGTACTTCCTCTTCTACTGTGTAAGTCATAACTAAACAGTATGTTTGCATCTCAAACTGTAGTGATTAAGCAGTTAGAAACTGCTCAGTTAGAAACTGAGCTGTCTGAGCTACAGAGCCTGTTAAAGGACAATCTGGCAAGACCCTCTGTCCTAAAATTTTAAAAGTTAAAAAGTTGGGGGAGCAGACATAGCTCAGCAGTGAGGTGCATGCCTGCTGTGTGTGAAACCCTAAGTTCAATTCCTAGTAAACACAAACAAACAAAAAATGCATGAGGGCTGGGATATAGCTGAGTTGGCAGAGTGCCTGCCTAGCATGCATGAGGGCCCAGGTTTGATCCCCAGCACTAATAAACTGGGCATAGAGGTACACATCTTCAAGTTCAACACTTGAGATGTAGATGCAGGAGGATCAGGGGTTCAAGTTCAAGGTCATTCCTGATCATGTAGTAATTGCAATGCTAGCCTGGGCTACCTGAGAACCAGTCTCAAAAACTTATTAACTGACTAAATAAATAAATGGCAGGATAGATTAAATAGATTGGTTAGATGTTGATAACTGTTTAAACTAGATGATAGGTAAGTACAAATTTAGGAAACTAATTTTGGAGTATGTTTAAAAATGTCCATAATAACATACTTAAGAGTTTCATACTGTTATTATTGTTCGCCTCTTTGCCCCTCCCTGCGACAGCCTCAAAGTGGAAATGATACTGGAGAAATCCTCTTGAATCTTTGTCCCCCAAAAGAATCAAATTGTTCCTTATGGGAGTGAAACCTCAGGTACTTGTCATTTATTCGGCTTTCAGCTGTTTTGGGGGACATAGGTGTCCCATGAAGATGCAACAGGATTCCCATTAGTAGTGAATTTTCTTACTTCTGAGAAGTGCCTGAAGCTATTTAGAAAGATAGCCTATTAACCCCAGCAGTGGACAGAGCTATGCATGGATTCATGCTTAAACTCCACTATAGGCATAGTACAGGTAAGTTGCTATGGGTACCTTGCTTTGGGGGAAATCATGAAGAATGGCCTGTTATCTCCATATGATGACAACACAGAGAACAGAAAGAACTTTTTGATGGCTCTGACTTTAACAGGAAATACTTCCATGTACAGCATATTTTAAAAACAAATAGTGGGGCTGAGTATGGTGGCAAACTCCTTTTATCCCAGCACTTGGGAGGCAGAAGCAGGTGGATCTGTGAGATGGAGGCCAACCTGGTCAACAGAGCAAGTTCCAGGCCAGCTGGGGCTACAGGGAGACTCTGTCTCAATCAATCAATCAATCAATCAATCAATCAATCAATCAATACAGTGATGAAAAATCATTCATAAGCAAATGAGATCTGGAAGAATACTTGCTTTGCACAAAGTCCCAAGGACACAGGTAGTTACAGAGCTTAGCATAGAAAGACAGTTCATACATGGCAACTTTCCCCAATGGGTATATAGTTTTAAAACCATTTAGAGTTTTTTTTTGCAATGAAAAAGTATAAAGAATGGCAAAATCCTAGTAATTTTTTTTTTTTTTTTTTTTACTATTGTGGTATGTTAGTTTTAATGCACTTGGGAACATTTTAATTACTCACAGCTGGACAGAATGTCTGAGAACTGTCGTTCAAAACCAATACTTCATTTCAATGACTATTTGGTCCTGGCCTGAGGGCTCCCAGGGACTAGCTCACATTGCAGAGAGGTTGTCTTCTAGGGCCTCAGTAAAGAGACTTAACACCATTTGCCAGAAACTGGAAGGAAAAAGGGTCTGTCAACCTAGACAGAAGGCCAACAAGAGATATAATAGTAATTTCAAATATTTGAAGTGTTTTATTACATGGAAGAGAGAGCATAAGAGTACTGTGTAACTCAAGGGTGAACTAGAGTCAGGTATGGTAGTATGCACCTGGAATCCCAGCGCTTGAAAGAGGCAGAGGCAGGAGTTCAAGGCCAATCTGAGCTATATAGCAAGACCTTCTCACAAACCAACCAACAAAACAAATGTGTACTAGAATCAGTAATCAAGATTCAAGGACCCAGACTTCAATCCATCCTGTAGAGAGCTTTCTAATAATAGCAGCAGCACCTTAGTGGAACAGGAAATGCCTTGCAAGGAATTTGCACCCAAGCTCTTTAGCTTTATATGAAAGAATAGCTCTAATCCATGATTTTTTTTTCTCCTCTTGAGATTAAAATTCTTTTTCAGTGCTGAAGATTGATCCCAGAGTCTCACATGTTCCAGTCAAGCACTCTACTCCTTAGCTACACCCCATACTCTGTTTAAATTTTAATGGAATTTTCACTTTTAAGATCATGTTTCCTATAAATGAGAAACCATATTACAATTAACAGGAACTTCCATTCCTGTATTTAGAATACTTACATGTTTATGTATCAAATAGTCTGTGTGCCTATTTGATATATTAACAGACATAAGATGGTAATGTTTCCCAGATTATTTTAAATTGTGATAAGAGCACTTAACATGAGATCTGTCTTCTTCACAAATATTTAAGTGTACAGCAATACATAGCACAATAATACAGCAATGTTAATTCTAGGCACCATGTGATACAACAGATCTCTAAAACCTAACCATCTTGTATGACTGAAACTTTATATTCCTTATTTCCCAATCTCCACAGCCCCTGAAACCAGTATTCTATCTTCCACCTTTGTGTGTCTGGCTGTTATTGTATGCACCTTCTAGAAGTGGGATTATAAACAGTTTTCCTATCTGAGTCTTAGTTCACTTAGCATAATGTCTTCAAGGCTCATTCGTGTTATCACAAGTAACAGGATTTCCTTCTTTTCAAAGGCCAAATAGTATTCCATTGTAAGTATATACTCCATGCTCTCTATTCATCCATCTGTTCACTTTGGTTTGACAGCGACGTTTAGTTTGTTCCCTCATCCTAGCTGTTGTGATTAATGTTGTAGGGAATGAGAACACAAATACCTCAACATCCTGATTTCTACATGTTCTTTGGTGCTACTCTCTAAGAGAAGGGGCTGGTACCATACTATAAATTGACACAGCACTTCTTTCAAAGACGTCTTCTTTTTATTCATTATTATGACTGTGTATGAGAGATTCATGGGGGGCGGTGTATACATGCCACAGAACAGGTATGGAGACCAGAGGACAACTTCTTTCAGGAGTCACTTCTCCCTTTCCACGTGTTCACAGGGACAAACTCAGAAGATCACGCTTGTGCAGCAAATGCTTTTACCTACTGAGCCATCTCACTGGCCCAGTGAAGTCTTCCTATAGAAAAAGAAATGTCTGTGGAACTTAACAAAATCCTAGTGACATTCTTGAGAATATTGATTATTACTGAAATGAAAGTAATTTATCCATTGAGTAGTTAATGAGACTAGAGTCTTTTCATAATCATTAGATAACCATACCACAAAATATGTAGAAATGCAAAGTCCCTTTTTTGCATTAAGATATATATTTCACTGACTAAGGATTCATTTAAAATCTATACATCATAGTATACAAAGTTGCCTCCCAAAATGAATCACTGCTGCTCCTTGGGACTTACAAGGCAGAGGCAGGACGATCACTGCAAGTGCGAGGCAAGCCTGGTCTTTATAGTGGGACTCTCCCTCCCTCCCAAAAAATATATATGTATTTAAGTGAGAAAGGGTTTAGTTTGGCTCACCACTCAAGGTTACAGTCCATCTTGGCAGGGAAGTCACTGCAGCCCAAGCTTGAGGCAGCTTATCATGTTACATCCACAGCAAGAAACAGGGAGCCAGGAATGCCTGTGCTCAGCTCACTTTCTCCTTTGTATACAGTCCAGGATCCCAACCTTGGGAAGAGTGCCACCCACAGTGGCCTGGTCTTTCCATTTCAGTTAACCTATTCAAGATAATCCCCCACAGGCATACTCAGAGAACAGCCTCCCTGGTGATTCTCCATTTTATCAAGCGGACACATGACATTAGCACGGATTATAAAAGAACTCATTAACACGCATTTTCACAAATAGTATTTACTAAAAATACCATTTCTGTTATGTAGAGACCCAAAATAGTTGTAGGTAATCACTGAGATTCTCTGCAAACAGTTGTGCAGTGTGTGCACTGTGCATGGCATGGAGAGAGGACATGTATGAGATCTAAACTCCAGCCTCCAAATGCTTACCCAACGATCGGCCTGATGGTGGAACTACCCTAGGCCTGAAGTGACAACCATTCTGGTTTGCCTAGGATTAAAGGGTTTCCCAGGATATGGGACTTCGGTGCTGCTATCAGCACCATCCTAAGCCAAGCATCCCAGTAACAGCATGGGGTGGTTCATACGCAACCACAACCTTTGGAATCCCCACTTCAGAGCCATAGTCCTGAAACCACTTGGCTCGGTGATGCCATTTTCTTTCTTTTTTTAAATTTATTTTTATTTTCTGTGTCTGAGTGTATTTCCTGAATATGTGTAAGTATACCTATGTCATACAGTGCCCACTGAGTCAGAAGAGGGCATTGGATCTCCTAGAATGGGAGTTGTGGAGGTTGTTAGCTGGCTTGCAGGTGCTGGGATTCAAACCCAGATCTTTTGCAATAACAGCCAGTGCTCCTAACCGCTGAGCCATCTTTCCAGCCCCCGTGATGCCATTTTCACATCAACTCTTTTCTCCTTCTGTTTTCAAGGTGAAGGAGTCCTGTAATCATGCCAACATCCTAACCAAGCCAGATCCAAGAACCTTCTGGACTAATGATGATTCAGGTATTATTAGATACGCATAACCTGGCCCTGGGATGTGCTGGGTGCATTCTGTATTGTTTGCCTGCTTGTGCCTAACCTGGCACTTAAATGTGCTTCACTATCCATTTTATTATCATAAACACCTTTTCATTATATTCCTTTTCTTTTTCCAGTAACTAAGGAGTATATAAAATCTAATAGACTGTGTTGTATATTCCAATTTCGGGGAACTGAAGAATGGGTCTGTTTCCCGGAGTGGTAGGGAGAGGGAAAGAATAAAACAGGCAAGTATGTTTATTCAAATGTCTCAGTAGGCACAGTGGCTCATGCTTGTAATCCCAGCACTCAGGAGGCTGAAGCAAGAGGAGTGCCATGAATTCATGGACAGCCTGGGCCACGTAGGATGAAAAGGAGATTCAAAGAACCTAAAGTAAATCATGTATCAGGATCCTATGGGAGAGCAGGAATGACTGTATTGTGGGATTCAAAACTATAAAGCCATTGGCCGGGCATGGTGGTGCAGGCCTTTAATCCCAGCACTGGGGAGACAGAAGCAAGCAGATCTCTGCGAGTTCAACGCCAGCCTGGTCTACATAGTGAGTCTCAGGTCAGCTGGGGCTACAGGGAGACCCTGTCTTAAAAAGACAAAAAAAAAAGATTTATATTTTTACTTCTGTGTATGTGTGTGTCCAGGTGCCCCCAGAGGATATAATAATTAGCACTGGGGATATAGCTTGGAACTATAGCATTTGTCAACATGTACCCCACCACCACAAACAAAATGAAAAAAAAGGCGGAAACAAATTAAAACACCGGAATTCCTGGATTTGAGTGGGGTTGTAGCTCAGTGGCAGAGTGTCTGCCTAGCATGTATAAGACCATTCAATATGTAGGGTTGAAAAAAAAAAAAAACTTAGAAAGAGGGCAAAGTTCTAGAAAAAAGAAGACTTTTATCCTAGGAGCCATAACGCTAATTTCACTAAGTAGACTCTAGAAAAGAAAAAGGGGAGGTGAAGCAAAAAGCAACTAAAACAATTAAGGGGGTGATAATAGAGCTTTCGCCTTTTCTAATTAGGGTCTAATGAAAGAGCAGACTTGTACTGATCCCTAATATTTGTATGATGCTTCACACCTTTATGAAGTGTGTTCACAAAAACCTAATTTAGTGTTTGCAGCAAGCCTGTGCGATAGAAGGGGCATCTACCCCCAGGGTGTGCATGCTGGAAAGGGAATAGCAAGTTAGACCAGTTATCTGACACATCCAAAACCAGAGCATCGGAGGCTGCGAGTCAAACAGGCTGAGGGCTGTTCTCCACTCCCTGGGAAGAGGCAGCTCTCACGTGAGGAGCAGCTGGGGCTCACTCTGTGCTTTAATCTTGTCTTCATAAAAGGGAGTCAAAGATTCTATCTATTAACAGAAGCGAGAGACTGGAGGAGGGAAATGGAAAACATTCTGATGGCTTTTTTTTTTTTTTGAAAGATCAAGCTTAAAGTCTAAACTTATTATCAATTTTATCTGTCCAATTTTTTTCTGTTTTATATTATATATGACTTTTGAAGAAAGATGAAAAAAAAAACATGAAAGCTCCTTGGCCTACTTATGCCATCATTTCAATCCATTAGCAGAACAACACCACAATAAACAAGCCAGCAGCTGGCTAGGATTGTTAAGAGCTACAGCAAGATTCATGAAGGAGCAAAGCAGAGCAGAGCCTTAGAATAGAATCTAAGTGATTTTTGATGTCATGTAAAGAGAACGGAGGGGAAGAAGACTTTACCTAGAACAGGCCCAGAAAACCTTGGCTTACCTGCAAGAGCCAGAAATATTAAAGTATTAAGAAAAATGAACACAGAACACATAGGGGAACTTGGGAGGCTGAGGCAGGAGGATTATGAGTTGGAGGTCAGCCTGGGAGCTGCAGAATGAGACTTTGTCTCAAAAAATAAATATATAGAGAAAAAATAGAAATACTTCCGTTCTAATCACCTGGAAACTTTTGTGTGATTTTGGATTATAATGGAGTTCCTCTTGCAGCTCGTCCTCCTTTTGCAACGACTGGCACCATCTCTAGTGGGATTTCATCTTTTTGTCTAGTTATTTACTCAATTACTAAGAGTGCGGTATTAAAATTTCCACCTATGGTGGTGAAATTGTCCTATGCATGTTTAATTTAGTCAGTTTTGCTACAAATACATATATGTGCACAGTGTGTATGCATACGAATATCTATGTGTGTGCACCTGCATGCATATTTGGGTGCATGTGGAGGTCAAAAGGCAATCTTGGGTGTCATTCCTCAGACACTGTCTACTTTTTTTTTGAGGCAAGGTCTCTCACTATGTAGCCCTGACTAATCTTGAACTATGTAGACCAACCTGGCCTTGAACTCATGGGTGAACCTCCTGTCTCTGCCTCCCAGGTTCTGGGATTGCAGGTGTTCACCACCATGCTGGCTATTTCATTCCTGAGGGTTGTCTTTGTAGATTTTCAGTCTGGGTGGATACTTCTTTCATTGCTTTACAGCTGTCAGAATGTGTCTCCTGGCCTTTAGAGTTCCTATAAGACAGCAAAGCTCAAATCATCACTACCCTGAATGTAATATGGGTGCTCTGTTTATTTTTCAATTCTAGGAATTGAATTCAGGGCCTTGTATCTGCTAGTCAGGTGCTCCAACACTGAGATATAGCCCCACTTTTTTTTCTTTATTCTTTTTTGTTTAATCTTTAGATTTTTGTCACTTTGACTATAAAATCCCTATAAAATCTATAGTCTTGAAGATGCAGACTTCTCAGATTGAGGGCATTAAATACCAGTCTAGGAGTTGTTTTCTTATAAATTGAGTCAAAGGGATGCGATTGTGGCTTCAGTGTTTAGTGAGCCTGTTCAGCATACCAGCCCTTTTTTCTGACCTAACAGCCTTTGTTTCTGCTAAGAACAAACACAGCTACAGAACTCCTTAGCCATGGGGGTCCCCAGGAGGATTCTCTTTGAGGATTAGCTCACCCTGAAATCTGGTAGGATGGCCTAGATTTTCACACCTACTTTCCTTTTGTGTGAGAAAGACTCACACAAAGGTGAGTTGGATGCTCAGTTGTCATATGTAGATATAGGCAGATTTTACATTTTTTAAAAATCACTTTTCATATTTATAATTTTAAAGTACCCAATACTTAATATAAGGAGAGTAAGGTTTAAGTGACTCATGCCTGTAATCCCAACATTTGGGATTATACTAAGCACTGAGCACTAAGGCAAGAGAATCACTACCACTTCAAGGCCAGTCTGGGCTACAGTATAGTGAACCCCTATTATGAAAGGAAGGGAGGGGAGGGGAGGGGAGGGAAGAAGAAAGGAAGAAAATTAATCAACCTGCTCTTACCATCTTTGCTCATTGAGGTGAGTCCTGTGTGCATTCCCGGAATTGTTCAGACCATAAGCAAACAGGCTGCAGGAGTTTAAGCTCTTTTCTGCTATCTTGGTTTTTAGACTTTGAAACCTGAGTGGTTTGTTTTTGTACACCTTTGTTTTTCAATTTCTGGTCTTGCAGTGGACTGAAATATCCTGTAAATTAGAATTTCAAGGTCGAATGAGTTTCCTCACACTTTCAAAATGTGTTTTCCCGCATAGTTATAATGGGTAATGCAGATAATGTTCTTCATTTAGAGGAAGTCAGGTAATGAAGTGATTGAGCTGTAGATTCCTTTGAAGGGCTGTTGCCTTAACTGGGCACTTGTTTGCCATGTAAGAAAGCACAGCACCAGACTTCTACTTCAAACCTCCTTATCATAAGACAGCTCTACCCTTCCGTTTGTCAAATGTCTAGATTTATCTATTTTTTTGTTTGTTCATTTGTTGGCTTGCCTTTTGAAAAAGAGTCTTGCTGTGTGAGTCAAGTTAGACTCAAATTCTCAACAAGTCTCCTGCCTTAGCTTCCTGAGTGCTGGGATTATAGATGTAAACTGTTATACTCAGCTAGATTTCTTTCAAGCAAAAATTAAACAGCAATCATCATAACTGTGCCCACTTTCCTCAAAGGAGACAAGTGAATGTTTCCTTAGGTTTCAGGATTTGTGTGTGTGTGTGTGTGTGTGTGTGTGTGTGTGTGTGCAGAACACGTGATATAGAGGTGAAGGAGAGAAAACTGGAGGTGGAGGGGGACAGGGAGAAGGGTGAAAGGAGGAAGCTGGAGGGGAGGGTAGACCAAAGCTAATGATGGATGAAAAGCTGTAGGAAAATCCAATACTTGATATCAAATAATGAAACAAAATTAAAAATGTTTGAATGGGACTGGAGAGATGACTCAACGGTTAAGAACACTGTTCTTGCAGAAGACCCAGGTTCGAATCCCAGCACCCACATGGCAGCTAACAACTGTCTATAACTCCAGTTCCAGGGGATCCGATCCAACAGGCTCTTCTGTCCTCCACAGGCATTGCACAACATGGGTGCACTTACCTACATGCAGGCAATACATGCATACACATAAAATAAAAATAATAAATAAAACTTTAAAAAGATAGCATGGTGGCGCACGACTTTAATCCCGGCACTCAGGAGGCAGAGGCAGGTGGATCTCTGTGAGTTCAAGGCCAGCCTGGTCTACATAGTGAGTTCCAGGCCAGCTGGGGCTACAGGGAGACCCTGTCTCAAAAAGACCAAAAAAAAAAAAAATTTTTTTTAAAAGATATATAATTTAAAAAAATGTTTGAATGAATGGATAAAGCTGCTCACAGAATCCCTAGCATATTAAATGAAAATCTCAGTGCCTGGGGTGGGCTATCTCCCTCTGAGTCGTTGGCCAGGGAGGTTCCCGAAGACTCCAAAATACTATAGATAATTGTCTCTGTCATTGCTCACCAGAACTAAATGGTAAAGCCCTGTTGCTGAATTGCCACATGCCTTGATCACAAGACATAAACAAATGAAGCTGCAGCTGGCCTGGAAGTTTCCTTCCTGTTGATTAGATCTCAGAATTCCAAAAGGTGCAGTGCAGGCTGCTGGGGGATAGGTGTCATTGACA